CAACAACTGAGCCAGTGGTGTTCTTTTTGGGGGGGCTTCTTGCCGGAGTAGCACAACAAATGGATTTCAGAACGTTGCATACTGTCTAACAGCAGCATCCGGGAGAAACAACTCTAGAAATTTCGAGGCCTCAGCCATCTTTCTTTTCACTTGGGATCGCTGCGGCTATCGCAGTGCCAGGTCCCATCAAAAAACCTTTTCAACTTGCGAAACTGTGGCGAGAATGAAGTGGTGCGAGTCACGTTCCTACTGCAGTTTTTGCAGCACCTGTGCCCACACCTGTGCCCACTACAGCCGGTGGATCTTCCATTCGCTCTTGACGCCGGCGTACGTGCCTGGCCTTAAACCATTTCCAGCCTCGTTCCTTCAACTCAGGCCAAACGCGTTCGGGCCCAATACATCCCTCAAGCGCCTCCCTCAGCGACTTTCGCCCTGAAAGGGATACGACTGCAGCTGGGCATTGCTGACAGGGTGGCGGGAGGCCGCTCCTCCGGCGTCCCATCGTTTAAGGATAGCTAGGCCGCTAGGCAAGGCAGTGAGCGTGTGCAGCGCCATCAAGGCCTGCGATGGTGTGTGTTTGGTGGTTCTAGTCGTCAAGGGGGCGCATCCTGCGAATGGATCAAGAAGTGCCACCCGCTCCTGAAACCTCCGAAGATAGTAGCCGCGATGCTTGTCGTTCGACGAGGCTTTGACCCAGTTTAACAGTTGCCTGCGCTGCCCACGTTCAACCAGGGTGATTGTGGTCACGGCATGTCGCAAGGCCGGGAACAGTTCGCAATGCAAAACTCCAGAACCTGACCGTGTGTTGTGAGCAGGCTGATCATGTTTGATCATGAAATATGGGACAAAAACTGCCCATGGGAGGGGCAGGGTTGCATCTTTGTTTTGGGATGTCACATAATTCATATCCCTGTATGGCAAGTTCTCCAACCCAATGTGCTGACGCCGCCCGCCCTCTCCTTGTTGAAGCGGTTATTTGTTCGTTGCGACCTCGTAGGATCTTTATATAGCTAAAACTTCAAAAATTTGAAGGTGGCAGGCCTTGTTTTCAATAAAACAACTCCCGCACTACTGGTTGAGCTGTGCTGGTCCCGGCCGCCCTTCCCAAACCAGGGTGTGAGAGTAGCAAAGGGCACATCTGGCGCGCAAGGGGTCTTTTGACTAGTTCTTCTTTTGGACTTGTTACGGTGCGGCTTGCTAAGTCTCGGAACTAAGGTAGAACGGTAGAACATGTAGAATTGAGGCGCACCAACTTATTTGAGAACAGGTTGTCAATTTGGCTGGGGCTCACTACCCCTGCTTGTAGATGGGGCCGCCGTTTCCGTTCGAGTGGTGGAAAAAATTGCAACCAGATCAGCCGCTTTGTCCTAACAAAGCTGAGAGCCGCCAACCATGCGCTCCTCCTTGCTGCCTTTGGGAAGGCGGCGTTTGTTGGGGCTGATTTGTTACGGTAAAAAGAAAGTATGGGAAGAAGACAAGAAAACGGGTCGACAGTCGGTTTTTGGTGTGGAGGTGCGAACTCCTTGTAGTTCTGGACCTCTAAAGCTTTCGAAAAATTTCACTCAGATGTACTCCCAGCACAATACAAGCATCCAAAGCACTGAAAATGATCCAATGCCAAAAATCGACTCGAGTTGAATTGGGCAGTGAACTAAGCAAGTGGTGCTTTCCCCATCGTGTGGGTCAATAATTTTTGCTGTGCATACATAGTAGTTCGTGTTTTTATTTATTCCATTCCGCTTGCTCAACAATTTTCGTGCAGGTCGGACATTGTACACCTGAGACAAAACTGCTCTTGCCCGTGTCCAAGTTTCGCACGGGGGGCCAGCCAAAAAGCCTCTCAAGATTCCTTGGCGTATAGCTCTGTCAAAGAGCAGAAAAGTCTCAGCATTGAGCAAATCTTCCCGGTGACATCGTAAACGATGTCTATAGAGGTTGCAACAGCACCCAAACTCTCAATATACTGTTGAAAATTTCCTTTTCGTCTCGCTCCTGCAAAAAGGTGTGCAAACACACAGGGGGCATAGTGAATTTCTATTGGTATGGACATGTTCACTTCCTGTAAACACTGAGCTTCCTGGATGAAGAACCCCGTTATTTTTGTATGTTGCGAGCAAATCTGCACATTGCCTTGCAAGAACCATTCACCAGATGCATGGTACAAAAAGGTATCCCCTACCGCCAGGCAGGAAAGGCAAATCAACTCCTCACGCAGCATTCGGTCCCACCATTTTCGGAAGATATCAACAATTTCTTCCAGGGAGAGGTCTGTTTGACAGGTCGCTACTCGTAGAGATTCGAGCAATTGGTCAGCATCAGTCATCTGATGTAGAGCGGCCGTCGATGCATCACAGAGCGCCCGTCTTTCTTCATCCTGAAAGCAGGTAGGCACCGGAAGGAGACGCCGAGGTCCCTCGGCTTGACATCTACGAAGCCTGACAAGAAAGGAGAGTGAACAAGTTCTTATTGGAACTAAACTGCTTGGGGTGGCCATGCGTTTGTTGCCACGGCCCTTTTGTTTGGAGCCACCGCAGTCATCGAACATCCCTCCGAACCTCATGGTATGCTGGAGTATGCATCCATATGGCGGCTTCCTATTGTTCGTTTTTCTTACGTTTTCCTCGCTGCAAGCTGATCAACTTCTTTCAGGGGCATTTTGGTGGTCACTCACCCAACCCCACCACTTTGATTGCGAATTCTAATGGTTCGGAAAAGATCTTGATCAAAGGCCGCGCAACCCCTCTACCAAAAGGAGGTTGCATCGGTCGTGAGCAAAATGGAGAATGGAAGAACAAACTTAAAGAATAGGTTCTCCAACTGCATTCGACCTGGCTGTTACAGCCCCTTCGCGGCAGGAGACACTCGGTGAGGCGGCGCGTTCCAGTCTGGCAGCTGCTTCGGCGTACGCTGCTGTCAAGCACAAGCACCTAAACACTGCAAGCGTCTGCCAAAGCAATGGGATCAGTTTCCACCCCTTGGTTGTTGAAGCCACTGGAGCATGGGAGCCCGACTCTGCCCTGTTTTTGCGGAGGCTTGCGAAGGCAGCATCTGCGCGGGAAGGGGGCCAAGGCGACTTGCATGGAGCCTTGCTCCAGGAGCTTTCGGCCATTGTCCGGAGCTTCCGAGGGCGGGCCATTCTGCGCCGACGGACCGAACTTGCCTTGGTCAGCCATCCCTCTCCATCCTTGTGAACGTCTTTTGATTTTGAGTGATGGGCTGTAGGCATTGCTGGTGGCTGCTGCACCCTTTTTGTGGGGCTGTGTCTTGGACACCGTGCTCACCGGGCAGCTTTTGGCCATTCCCTGAGCCGAGTCTCTGCACAGAGTGCGGGGCTAGACCTCAGGTACGCCTTTCTTTCTTTTGTTCGTTGGTTTCTTCTCTTTCCGCCGGAGCAACGAGCACACAGTTTTTTTCCCTCCTCCTCGAGCCCGGTTCTGTCAGCTGTGGCCGCTTTGATTATTTACTTGCCGATGTTTTTCGTCTACTACCGGCTTGGGACCCAATCGGCTGCACGGTTGACATTTGCCTTCTGTACCGTTTCCCCTCTAGTTGTATATCGGACAGGGCATCTTTTGGCCCAAGGTCCAATATACCCAGCTCTGCTCCGCTACCCGCCTGGTTCACAGATGCGGCCCAGTCGCTGATGGCAGGGTTTGACGAGTCGCCCCTTGCGGGGCCCGACTTTTGTCGCGTTGAGAGACAGGACAGGTGAGTGTTTTTCATTCGTGATTCATGCGGCAATGACTGCCACGGACAAACCGTCCTCGGCGAATCGGAAAGAAAAAATCACCAGAAGCCGCCGATGCTCGGTGGGTCGGTGCTTGGTGGGTCGTGTTCTGTGGGGAATTTTGCCATTTGAGTGAAATCCATCGATTTCTGACAGCGCCCCCCTGGGCTCAAAGGACGGAAAAAAAACAGGAGATTGGTCCAATACCGGCCCTTTTCTTGCTGCAAACTTGGGAGATCGTCTTTCAGACCGCACCACTGATCAGTCGCACTGATCAGTCGCATACGGGCGTTAGAGGTTGCAGAAAAACTGGGTTATTGAGACAATGCTGTTTATCGTGAACAACATGTCATGATAGCTTGGTGCAAGCAGAGCTGATCACACAGACGAAGGGTCCAGCAGAAAAACATGCAAAAAACTTGTGATTTCCTGCCGGCAAGGACTACTTGACCTGCCTTTGTGGAAATTTTTCCACAGAACCATATGTGACATACGTTTGAGTGGTATGTGCCATGCTTGTTCCACCATCGCGGGAAACCTGGCAAACATGTACATCTGGATGGGAACTTGATAAATAACAGCGAGAGAACATGCACAAGGCAACCGTGATTGAACAGTTGTGCGCATGCCCGCACATGGCCTGCGGCGCAACGCCCGGCCTCCAATTTATGTTTATAGGTTTCAACCCCGATCCGTCAAGGCGCTGCCTGAAACCAGAGCCCCAACAGTGTTGTTTTTGGTTTCGCTCTCGTCGAAACATCCAGTTCAGCTTCCACCGTGCAGTGAACTGAAAGACTCGAAATCTTTGTAGTTTCTGGTGAGTTTTGTGCTGGCGAAAAGTGTTCATCGTCAGTCTTGCAGGGTCAAATGACGTTGCGTTGCAACGCATCACATCACTTGGACTTGAAACAGTGCCACATGCTACAAGAGCGTTGCCGAAGCAGGCCACTCAGATCCGTGGGGCCAGTCGACAATGGTGCCAGCTTTGGTGGTTTGGCGCATCTTCGAACGGGTACGGCTAGGGCTACGGTGCATCTGATGCCATGCCATGTCTTTTTGGCGTGAAAACGAACTGCAGCGGTTTGGGCTTTAAAGTGTTTAGCATCGGCCGGTTTCATCTTGGAAACTGCCCCCAACCGGTGTGAAATTCAAGCCTTGCAAACAACCCAGGGAACAGAAAGAACCACTTGCTTTCTTTACTTGTGCTGGCTTACACCCAGATCAATTTCTGCCTTAACCCAACAGATCTCCCAAAAAACCTCACTGCCCCGATCGATTGCCCTAGATCAACGTGGGGAGCGCCCGGAACGGTCCGGGTCCTGCGCAGTTCTCCCGCGCCATGGCGTCCCTGCCCGCGGTGCAACCGCTTCTTCCGCCGACCACCGGACGCGGGCGGCGTCCCTAAAAGCGGCGTGGGGACTGGAGGATGATGTGGCTCGGCGAAGGGGAGGATTGCATCTGATGACTTCGGACGATCTGACCCGCCTTCCCGGACCTTACATGCGGCCGTCTTCTTGAAACGGGTTTTGTTTGCACAATTTTGCACTACAGAAGTGCAGAACTCGATTCTTCACCCCCATATCTGACCTATCAGGCTGCTTTGAGCCTACACGAGCCCGCATAGCTCTGCATTTTCCTCCGGCTCATCTCGAGCTCAGGGACGATGAGAACTTCGCCCGGGACACTGCACAGAGCTTCTTCAGCCAATCCCAGGCACCAAACGCAGAACGCGGGGAAAACGTGAGGCCACCTGTCCACTGTACTATGTACAGGTGAATCAGGGCTTCAAGCTTTCATGATGCAACTGTCCAATTTTCCGCACCTGGACTCATGAACTGAATTCAAGCCAGGGTAGTGATTGACACTGAGAACGGGAGCATCATCAAATGTTGTGTGTGTCTACTAAATGCCAGCGCGAGGCGGCCCACATCCAAGACAGAAAGAGCCACAGAGCCACAGCAAAAGACACATGCTTCCAACCGCACGTGTGAGTCACCTTTGCCACAAAATCGCCCCTCGAGAGTGGAGGGACGACGGACCTCTAGGCCCATTTCGCACCACGCGCGACGGCGACGCCCGGAGACGGAGGCTTCGGGTGCCACGGGTGCCACCAGCCTGGCCACGGAGCAGACGGTGTCGAGCTTGGCGATCGAGAAGTTCAAGGCGCCTGGGGTGAAGTGGGAAAGGACGGAGGATAGCTGAACGAAGCTGAAAGAAGCGATGAAGATGTGCTGACGGGTCTGACGATGATCGAGAGATAGTGAGAGATAGTGAGAGTGTGGTCACCCTGGGGCTGCAGTCATGGCTGAATCAGTGTTCTTCTCCAGTGGCGGGTTAGATGGTTTGTATTTGTTTCAAGTTTGTTCCTTCACAAACTTGGTGAGTGAAGGTGGTAGTGTGAGGTGGGGAAAGTGGAGAAGATGCCGGTGGGTGGATGGGATGGCCGTGTTTTGTGGTGATGTGGGTTGCTGGTAGCAACCCCCAGTGGCTGGCATCATGCCACAAGGCTTCGATTTGTGATGCCAACAAGGTGATCAACTGACATCTATAATCACGAAAGCTAGCGAAGCTAGCTGGAGTTACTCTTGCGATAGCAAGGTTTCTTTCGACCGGGTGCAAATCCTAACCCCTGATTTTTCAGGTCGAAGACCCCCCCCCCGCCGGCCCCCGGGCCCCCCCCGGCCCCCCAAACCTCCCCACCTCCCCCCCTCTCCTCCTCCTTGTCTTCTTCCCATCTTCCCTCCCTCCCTCCTCCCTCTTCGCAAGTTCGACTCCGTCCTGTCGTCGCTCTTTGGCATGCGGTTAGCGTTGCGTATCTTGCGGCCGCACTCGCTCACTCTCACTCTCACTCTCTCACTGTCTCACTGTCTCACTGTCTCTCTCATCTCTCTCATCTCTCTCATCTCTTTCTCATCTCTCTCATCTCTCTCTCCTCTCTCTCTCTCTCTCTCTTCTCTGTCTCTCGTCTTTCCGTCTCTCTTCTCTCTCTTCTCTCGCAGGAGGATCCGGGCAAAGAGCCACATATAAAGGACTCTTCACCCCTGCCTCCAAAAAGAGCGCCGTGTTTTTTCCTACCTCGCTGCCCTCCACTTTCCCATTCTGGAGCGCTAGCTTTCGCCCCCCCCCCTTGGCCTCAAGTTCCTTGGGGATGGGTCACAACCTGGTGCTGTGGTCCACCATGTAGCTTGACCTTCCAGGAGGTCAACCGGTCGGTCTCCTGGTTTTGACTCGTGGCCATTCGGGGATCACTCTTGACAACTGCGATCTGGTCGCATTGTTCTCGCGCAAAGGCGCAGCAGCAGGAGCCTCAACATCATCACGTGCATCGGATTTGCAGGCAGGGCCACAATGCGTGGACCGCGCCTCATGCCGCGTCGGTGTCAAGCCTCTTGACCATGTCGTTTTTTTTGTTGAGTGGAACGGGTGGAACGCATGGGGACTACATCCAAACAGGAGCAAAATCACTTTATCCTTCTGTGAGTGAGCGATCTGTTGGGTTCATTTGCCTCACTGGGGCCCACCGTCTCTCTGAAGGGACCTGGTTCACCACAAATTCCGCAGTGCACGGTCTGCACGGGGAAAAGAAACGGGCGCCTGGCCATTTCAAGGAACATTGAACAGCCAACTCTTCAAGCTTGGCCCATTTGCCCAGCACGTCACCTCCCAGAATCTCTTTTCCGGCGGACCACCTCCGACTTCACGAGCCGAAAACCCCCACACCACCCGGGCCCATTCCGATCCACAGGATTTGTGGCCGAGTGGTGGCTGCGTGACTCGGCCTGAGGGTGGACCGATGCTTCAAACAAAAACGGCCCGTGTGAATTTCGGTGTGGACTTCCAGATTTGCATGGTCTCCTGATCTGACTACGAGGATAGACACCCATAGATGTTCACACACCCTCAACTACAATACACGCTACTAGCTGCTACTAGCTGAGCAGTTGGCTCGTCAGCTGGCTTGAAAGTGTCAGCTGGCTCTTCACTTCTTGGTCTCCTTGACGGGTTTTTGTGGCCTTGACCGACCCTGCCGGCCAAGGAAAGGCCTGCCGCGCTTCGACACGTACTCCATGTCTGACCCCTATTGCGTGGTCAAGGCTGCCCGGGGGAAGTTGTGCCCGGGTGAAACCCGAAGAAATGTAGTTGGAGGATGTGGGAGGATCATCCGACCATCTCCCTTGGATGGTCCTGATAACTTGTGTGACGCCACTGTTGCACTTGATGATATTGTGATTCTTTTTTTCTTCCTCCCCAGCCTCAGCCTCATCAGTATGTGCCTGATTTACCAAAGGTCACGACTCACTACCCTTCCCGTCCTCCAAATCCGGCCAGGCCATCAAGGGCAACAACCATACGATGAACGCCGCTCGGCTCAAATGCATGAATGAGTGAGGAGTGCCTGGAGTTTAGTGCAGATTGTTTGCGGTCACCTTGTTCAGTTAGGCTGCATCGATGTCCATGCCATTGACGGGTAAAAACAGGGCACTTATGCTGAGGCTGTTTGCGCTTCAAATATGCACGCTAGCAAGAAGGATACTGAGGTGGATGCAAATGTATTCTAATGTATGTGGTGCATGTGGTGATGTGGAACACTTCCCCGGCCACTCCGCCGGAGGTCTACATTACCCGCACCATCATGCTGCTTGGAAGCAGCCCATTGCTCTCGCATGATCGAAGACCTTCGACATCCTTTGATGATAACACGTATATTTTGTAGGTGGTTGGACGGTCAGGACGGTCAACTCTAAGATGTGGAAAGTTCTGCGGTGCCAGAACATTTGCATACTTTGCGACGACAATTGTACAGGAGTGTTGGATTTGTATGCTGGGAATTGGCAAATCATAGGGATCTGATCTTACCACAAAGGATGCCCTACAACAAGGTTCCAAAACATGGGAAGGCAACAGGGCGGCAACAGGGGGGCTCACATTTGATGATGCAAGAACCGCACATCATGTTCATCACCACCTCATACGAATGCTTTTCGCGCCACGCTACCACCTACCACGCTACCACCCACCTACCACGCCTCCGCACCGCAACCGGTCAACAGGAACAACAGCGCGCCGGTCTGGGACGAGGAGTTCGATTTCCAGATCCGGGCAGATCAAACCACCGAGGACGGATCTGCGGTCGGGTGTTCCGCCGGTGAACACGTCGTGCGCTCACGGGCGCCGCGGCGGCCGTTTCGGTCGCGGGTCCGTGGGTGGCGTCGGGGTGGAGGCGGTGGCGAGCTTTGGATCGTCCCCAAGGTGGGAAAGGGGACGCCAAAATATATGAAGGACAGTGACAGGGTCCATTTCCATGTTCCATCATTTGATTGCTATCCAGATTTTTCAGGGTTGCCCCTGGCAGTCCGTGTCTTGCTTTCCAACAAGTGAGGAAAGCTCGATTTGGCATGAATCTGGCGACCTGTCCTGAAGACATTCAAGGCTCAAGGCCGCCCCTTGAAACCGGTTTTCAACAAGCACCAAGCCATCCCCCAAATCCGTAAACTTCAGGAAGTCCAGGTGCAATCCAGCTGTACTCCCGGGCATCCCCCCAAAACCTGACTTTATTATTTTACCTCCTCGTGGTCCTGGACGGTTTGCACGCAGGAGATCGTGGGCTTGCGCTTGGCGGTCTACGAGGCTGATGGTCCAGGCTCCTCCTTCCACGGCCCCTGGGGAGCAGCAGTGGGGCGCGGGGCACGGAGCGAGCGCGGGTGTTTTGTCTGAGTGAGAGAAGCGGAGGAGCCTCGGCCGTGTTGAGCATTGTTTGCGCCAAGGCAAGGCGAAATGATGGGAACGGTGGGTTAGCATTTGTTGCACTTCGCCAGTGGCATCTCTTCAAGTCATGGTCACATATATATGTTTGTGGAGTCATGCACGTCAGGAATCAGGAAGTTCTCAATGAATTCGGTGATGGAAGCTTGCATTTTCCTCAACTGTTCTTAACCAGCCAATATCAGGCATTTTGGAATGAACACTCCTAAAGCCCACCGAGCCAAAAATAGCCGCAGGCACATCACGCACCTCCTTCGCGGGGCTGCGGGGCATCTTTTTGTGGTACCGGATTCTCTCCCCGTTGGCCCCAAAAGCCCCAGCGCGGCGGGGTGGCCGTACACCTCGACTGAGGCTCCAACGACTTCTTGGGCGGTGCCGACCTAGTGCCCCGGCTCGCGGGGTGGGCGTCCAGCGAGTGGTGCCAAGGCTTTTTTGAGGGCGAGCCGAGGAGGAGGATTCCCATTTGGGGGGTTGGTCATGAATCCATGACCCATTTAGATTGCTCCGTTCTGGGGTTGATGGTGATACCCATTTGAGGTGCCGTGATTTGTGAGGCCCATTTCAGGGGTGACATCGCTCGGTTCCATGAGGGCTCGTTCCACGGCGAGGTGAGCCATCTCCACACAAGCGCCGGAGAGTGGCACGACCGGGAAGAGACAGACCCACAGGGAACCGGAAAATGAGCCTTTGGAAGATCATATTCCTCTACAACCCAGCGGTTCTTAGGTTCCATATTAGTCTTCCTGTAAGAGGAAGACTGTTTGAAATTTGTTTTGAATGTAGTGTTGCGTTGACACGGCAGACGCTACAACGAAAATTGACTCGCACAAGGTGACATGCTCCCATGCACTTGTGCCAAGCTGGTGATGCAATAACTCCAGTTCTGCCCACCAAAAGACCCGAAAACGCGCCATGTTTCGGCTTTTCCGATGGGAAAAGCCTCGTGGCTTTGGGCATTCCAAAGCCTTTCGAGTTCCTTGGCCTCTCAGGACCTCGCTGGGCAGAAGCATGCGCGCTCGGTTTTGTGGGGAGCCCCCGGATGCGCGCTGCTCTTGCGTGGCGAGCGGCCGGAAAGGGCCTTGTGACGTCGGCACCGGCGGAGTTCGCTGGTTTGGGTGGACTCTTTCTGGGCTTACTGGACCGAACGAAGCCGGTGAGTGTAAAGCATCAGTGATTGCAAGCATGCACATGTTCCATCAGCTTCTCCAACTCGTGGGGTGTTAGAATTGAATGGATGGATCAAACAAGGTGAGTGAGTGGTTCGCCAAAACACCACATGCCACAAGATGTAAATTAAAGATCAGTGAAAGATGGCTTCTTCCACTTCAGGAGGCCGCTTCCCCCCCCTCCATCCACCTGAACACATGCAACAAGCTGGCGATTCGAAGCCACATGAGTGACACGTGGCGTGCCCGGCCCAAAGAACCTGTACAGCTCAAACGCCCAACCGCGCCAACCCGCGCGACGCAGCGCAGCAGGCCACGGGGGTGGTACGGTGTGGATGTGTTGCCTGGTCGTTTGTGCCTGTGGAACGCTTCCAAAAGGAGTGCTTTGAGCGGGGGCAGAAACGTTTGGTCCAAAGCAAGGCCAAGCAGGCCAAGTGGCCCAAGTGTTTGGGTTGCAGATGTTTGAGCTGCGAAAACGAGTTTCGCAGGAAAAACCCTTGGGGCCACTGGTCGGGTGGAACCTGGACGTCCTGGGGATGCCTCAGCGGTTCATGCTTACCACACACAAACTTCGATGGTAAAGTCAGTCACATTAACCGATGCCGAAGGCCCAAGACTATTGGTGTAGCTGGCAGAACACGTCACCTTAGCTTACACCGGACAATTGAATCCAAGGTCCTTCTTGGATCAGTGAAGGGAGAAATCCAATGCAATCCTGGCTGCCACACTTCTGGCCGCACTTGGTGAGAACCTTTTCGCTGTGCTCCTTAGCGAAACCTCGAGCCGGTGGCGTCTCGGTGCCCCGCCCGATCGGCAGACCTCGGCCGGCATGGACGCGGACAAGGCCGATGCTTCGCTTCGCGGCAACGGCGGACGGCGTCCGGGTGGAGAACTCGACGTTTGTGCTGGGGAGTTGGTGGGACATGTGCGGTGAGGGGCATGGCGCTTGCCCTGTTTCATCTCAAAGATGCTCCAAGTTTCTGCACTCGGCACCGAGGGGCTGGCCCTTAAGAAGGAGCATGTGATCACCATGAGTTCCGCACATGATAATGTTTTCGAGACCACAGCTAAAAGCAAAGCCAGCAGAAGCCACCTCGTGTATATAGTTGCAGGATTAGAACTATAGTTAAAAATACCTGAAAATGCTACCCAGATGAACAGGCTGAGCATTGATACTTGCTGATACCGTGGGCGGCCGCGAGCCACGCACGGCTATGCGCGTGGCTGAAGCGCAGGCTGCTTCCCTTCAGTCGACTTTACGTCAGGCGAACGGCGCGCTCTCGCGGAACCCGGGGCGGACGAAGATGTGGCGACGCTCGCTGGACACCCGTGGCGATCATGCCTGAATGAGTGGGGCGTTTGGAGTGGATTGACCGTCGGCAGGCATCATTCCGTAGTTCTTAGGATTTTGAGGATGGCCGGAAGCCGGAAGCATCAAGTTGACTCATGTTGATTGTCAATTGCGGGATTTGCTGCATGCATCTCGTATCCTGTAAGCCTACGAAGTTACGCCATGGTGCCTGCATTCCATCGAGCTCTTCAGACGTGAAAAAGATCGGATCAGCTCTGCCGCACACAGCCGGTGATGTGCCATGGGAATCGGCCACCATGCAGCGGACCCGCGGAACCGCCTGAAGTGATGCGGGGAGTTGGAAACTTTTCGAAGAAATTCTTTTTCTCTTTTTTTAAAATTATCTCTGTTATCTTCGCCATAGCGGAACTTCCCCAAAGCACATGAAGGTCGTGTGGAGATGGTGGTCACTGTCCATCTGTGCCTCCACGCGCCTCAAGCGCCCCATCGCTGCCGAGCGTGTGTTTGGGGAACAGATGAACAGATGTAGATAGAACTGGGAGTTCCCCCCGAGTTCCCCAGAAACATCCCCAAACTCCCAAACCATATCACAATATTTCTTAGATCGAACACCGAACACCCATATGGTACGACAGACCGGCACAGCTCCTGACCCCACACGGCCAGGCACGTTTTGCCGAGGGCGAGGCCGAGCGCGTTGGGAGACTCAGGGGTGTGGACCCTACCAATGGGGGCAATCCATGGACTGAAGTCAATCCGGATCATCCTGGTCTCGAAAGTGGCTCTAGTTTTCAATCAACGTTGTCTTTACATTGAAATCTAGTTTTCAATCAACTTAGCCCGTTTCCATTTTCCAGTCCGTTTTCTTGATCTCCTCCCCTCTCCCGTGTTTTCCGCGCGCGTCCTTGCCCGTCATCCCAGGAGCCGGCCGGGTGGCCCTCGGCGGCCAAGGCGCCGGGGCCACGGTTCCGGAAGCTGAGCACCGGCGCCACGGAGCTGCCTGACGACGACGAGGAGCGGGAGGAGCTGAGTCCGGCGGCCACGGACTCGGTGGCTTGGACGGTGGCCGCGGTGCCCGGGTGCGGCCCGTGCGGGGGGCCGGTTTCTTGTTTGGGTTTCTGCCGGCTGCCGCAGGGCAAGAGGAAGACGCCGTAGAGGCGATGATTTGTGCCGTTTGGATGATTGTTGGGATGGTTTTTGGGATTCACCGGTGGGGGGACGCTGAGTCCAATGGCTGGGAACGAGCTGGTGTGAGCTTAACCAAGACTTGTTAACCAAGACTTGTCCCCTTCATTTTGAAGTGTGGGTGTGAGCCGAAGCACAGGAGATCTTCCCCACGCTGAATTCTGTGCACAACTGGTTTGTTGGGACAGTGATGGCTTTTCACAGCCTGCACCTGTTCCAATACAATGGTTCATCGCACAAATCCCGACTAAGGATGAAGATGAGTGCCCGACTCAACCGCCCTCCAGGCAGCAGCCCGTGGGCACGGGCACTGCCCGATACAAACTGAACAGAATATACATATGCAGCTGGAAAATGGATGGTCCTGTGCCCATTGTTCTGGGTCCTTTTTGAGCGCAAGAGTGGCGGATGGGTCGGAGTACAGGTTGGAACCCAAAAGGCTCCGACCATGTGTCCGAAGTCACAGAGAGCCGTCCTTCATTGCAAGAACAGCTGGGTCTGATTGGATGGTCCACTGTGGTCCACTTCATTATCATCGTCACTCTTTTTCCACAAATAATTGTCGTTGCCAAGTCTGGTCCACTCTTCTCCGGCGACCCAGCCAGCGCTGCTTCGCTGCCAGGGGTCATCCGGACGTCGGCGCCAACGGCCTGAGGCCGTCGAACGGTTGAGACAAAGACTCCGACCTCAAACGTGAAGGGTTTTGAAGGTCCGGACCCCTGCTATGGAAGGTCCGACCCCTGCCATGGAAGGCCCAAGGATTCTTATAGGGTAGACAAGACTCAATGGATGTGTGCAACTCATGGGTGTTCAAGAATTGAAGGGTTAGTTATTCCGCAATGGTGACGCTTGGCAATGGTCACATTGTCAGGCACAAGCCTACTTATAAGGCCTACCCTCGCAAACAAAGACTTGTATAGGATGCTGCAGTCGTTCTTTGTGCATAATTAGTTTGAGTGCAGCATGTTCATGTTGACCTCCCTCACTGCACGACTCACCTTACTCACAGCATCCTCACCTACTACTCAGAAGGGTCAAAGGGTCAACCTTACTGGAGCTCCATGTTGGCAGGTTTGAACCGCAGATGCTTGGCAGGGAGCTGAACTGTGGGAGCTGAACTAACTGGGAAACGCTCTTGAAAGAACGGGTGGGGTGTTCGGATCTTTGTGCTTCTCCCTGAAAGAGGAACTTGGGAGAACATAGATGAAAAGCAACGCCGAGAGGAAGCACAACATGGATTCTGTGCTGTGGGTCGTTGAAGATGGATTTCAGACAGCGCTCTGGATTTTTTGAAAGTTTGGGGCAACCTCCATTAGAAGAGCTTTTCTTGACTGTGGCTATGTGTCTCCTGGCAGTTTTGTTGTTCTGTTCTTGTTTCGTCTACAGTGGTTTCAAGCGTAGATGGCACAACACAAAGAAAATCACATGTATCGTTTGTTCGATGTTCCCCAAAGGTGGTGGATAAGGACCCCATGGCCTCAAGACCTCTTGGGGTGCCAGTGCCATCGAACGTCTGAAACCACTCGTGGCGTCGCCGAATGGAGAACCGAACGCGAGGAAGGTGGTGCCGACGCCGGGATCACAGTCCCATGGCACGGGGCGCTGCAAGCCATGCTTGTGGTTCTGGAAACCTCAAGGTGCCAATGTCTGTGACAGGTCGCTGCTAGGTGTTGGGTGTGAGCATGAGTTCTTTCTCTTCAGCACGTGGTCGTTGGCCGGCAGGTAAGGGCATAGGTCCCACTGGCACAACTGAATGCTGAATGACCGAAGCTGCCCAACTCCTCTCACTGCGTGCAGGATGTCAGAAAGGCAACCGCTGTGCCTGAGACAGCAGCTGAGAATGGTGGAAGATATGTAAGCAGGTTGTTCGGGTATGGGCGAATACCGAACGTCCATACCACGACCACAACCCCTAGTAGCGTCCTTGCTCCTAGCAGTATGGCCAGGAGCCCCTAGTAGCGAACATTGCTCCTATAGTGGCTTCGAAATTCGGACGGATTTGTTGATTGTCATTGCGTTGTTAGGATAGGATACTGTATGCCATGCATGGTCTGCGGTCTGGGGTAGATAACCGCATGCCGCACTCACCAACCACCACACTCTTATATCATCTTATATCAAGGTAAAGTCATCATAGATTCCAATGGCCTGGAAAGCTGCTTGGAGCGCTTAGAGCAGAATTGTGGATGACGCCTCCAATCAGGTTCAAATAATATACACCGTTTGCTCCAAGTCTCTCGGCACCAGTCGTTTCTGTGCGCGCGCGTGCTGGTGTCGTTCTCAGGTTCGTACTGCCACCTGTGCCCTCCCAATGAGTTCACCGTCCGCAAGAAGCTCACCCGCCGGAGCAGCCGCAAGGACACCGGGCCCGCCCCAGGGCGGGCGGGCCGGTGGTCGGACCTGAGTTATATTTTTGGCATGATCGTCCAGCGGTTGCAACATGTAGACCCTATGACCCTATGTTTCTAAAGAGTGTGGGCTGATATCAATTGGTGTTCGTTGGAAGTGTATAGATCTTCATCTTGAGCCCATGTGAATAATTGCTCCGACTCAGACCATTTGGCAGATCGTATTCAGATCGCTTCCACCTAAAGCGACCTGTCCGTCCCACCTGATTGTAACACCTCACGCGTCCCGAAACCTCGCCAGGAAACGACCGCTTTGGACATGATCGTGAGGTGTGGACAGCGTTTTTTTGTGTGGTCGCGGTGTCGACGTCCCCGCATGGATCCAGCCGTTTGGTAGTAGAATGAAAAAGGATCAGGCTGTACTCCTTACCAATTCCTCCAACCTCTCGGTCCTCGTTGAGTTACAACGCCCAGTTGGAGGATATTCTTCCATGTCGTGCCCCATTCGGTGCGGTTGACCAAACCCACTGGGATTTCTGCTGGGTGGAGAAGCATCTGGTCCGCACGTGGCATCGGATCGGATCGGTGGACCGGACCTGGCCGCTGTGCCATACGGCCCAAGAAGGGGTTGGTTTTGAGAGATGAATTCGGCCAAGAACCTCAACAGGCCGATTCCTGAAGTTGCCATAGTTGGTCCACATGGTCACAGACATAGTGTTGAAGCCTTTTCTTTTTTCCTCTTCCAGCTGGTAACATACATTTTCGGCCCATCGACCCACCTCCGGACTAGGTCAAGGCCAACAATATCAGTCATGCTCCGCCTCAATCGTGCGCTGGCACGCGAGGCCACCACCTGGACTAGAGGAGACTGTGCATCTTGGAGCAAGCGGGCCTTCATGGGCCTCCCTGGCCTGGAGTGATTTATGCGGGGGGTGCAATGAATCATAGTATCATGGTATGTCCGGCGTGTCCAGCTACAACTTCTCGGTGAGACCACACTATCATCCATGCCACAACTATCAATCCATATTTCACGGAACGGATCAACGCGCACGAGGTTTTCGGCACGTGTTTTCCAGACCCCGCAGCGCACAGAAGAGTGTCCAGGCGCCGGTGACGGAAGACGTTCATCTAGGTACCTGTGCTGGACACACTTGGAACTTTTTGCGGGTGTGAGGTGAGAAAACAGTGAGACAACATCACGAGAATTGCATGAACCATCTACTGGCATACAAATCAGAAGAACATGTTGCTCATTCTGCTCCCATTTCCTTTCCCTTTCCAAAAGCCCAGATCATCAATGCAAACATGCACCCCCAGGCCAAAAGCCAGGCAATGCCTCCCCACACCCACCAGTCCCCAGTCCTCCAGGCCGACACCCGGAACCCAGGACCGGTCTGGCCGAGGCCGGAGCTTTCCATCGGCCAGGTCTTGCACCTCTCCGGCCGCTGCCGGCGACTCCGACCGCACAAGACAACACGGATCACCGCGGCCGCCGGAGCGAGCGAGGTCTCGCCATGTCTTTCACATGGAAAGAAGAAGATTTCACGGACTTGTAGGTATAGTATAGGTATGTCAACATGTTGTGAGATGTGTGTCAGATTCTCCTGATGATCAGTCCTCTCATCCGCCCATCCTGCCTGCTATTGGCCAGCTATGATCGTTTACCTTTTTTTTTTTTCTTCTCCTTCCACGGAAGAAGACAACACTGGCTGGTGCTTAGTAGGGCATGACGGAATGGATCCTAAGGAATCGGTAGTGGGTGATCATTCCCTCATTCCCTGCAAGTCGCACCAGTCAGAACATCGAGTCCACAAAGCATCCGAACCAACCGAGCTCCGCCGTTGTTTTCCCCCCCGGGAAGTCCTGAAGAAAAAGGCGCCGAAGACGAACGGTCCCGGCGGAAGCCGGAAGCCGACGGAACATGTGCCACGGGTATCCAGCGACGGCTGAAGCCATTCAGATCCGGGAAGTGAGAAACAGAATCAGCCGCCACGCATGTGATGGAGCAGCTGACCACCATCACCTGAGGAGCACCTTCCATACCCCCAATGTATCCCAATGGTTGCCTGTTGGCTTCTTTCATGTGTCATCATGTGTCACATTTTCTCTGATGTTCTCTAACGACGGGGCGCTGGTTCCAGATTTGAAGAAAAGACTTGGCAGGTGCGCGACAGGGTTTTTGGAGGGGCACGGATTCGAAAAGACCTCTATGTGCTGTGACTCCGAACTCTTCACATTGCTTCACTCCTTTCATCCTTTTCTTTCCTTCTTCCGGAAGACGGTCGTCGGATCAGAATGCAGCTGCTCCTGAGGCCTTGCGGCGCCTTCTTCAGGGGCAAATGCACCCGTGGGGAGGACGGGGGGCCGGGAAAGTGTGACTGGCGGTGCTGTTTTGGGGGAGGGGTGGCGCACCAGGTGCCTAAGGAAAACAAGTACTCAGTACTCTAATCACAATCACAGTTGATGGTTGTGATGAGTGATGAGGTTTGACACAAAGAACAACAGAAAATAGGCTTGCGAGTCTGAGGTGGAACTAGTTCTCCTCTCTGTGTTCCTGGCTCAGGGGCCGCTTGCTTGGCGTGGTGGGTGTAGAAGTGAAGTGCGAGTTGCAAGTGTTCAGATGGACCACTTACTTACTTACTTAGCCTGAGAAAGACCACCGGCAATGTTCGAATTAATCAGATGATGTCAGGGTCATGCCGTCCAAAAGGCCCAGGAAATCACATGAGGAAACGGAAACGGAACTGAGACGAACTGAGACGCCCGCAGGAGTCCAGAGCCTTTCCACCGTCACAAATCCACCGGTCCCCAAGGAGTGCTTCCACTGCCACCTGTGCCTCTCAGATGAGGCACGCCGCACCCAGGCGGGGCCTGAAGGTGGAATGGGATGGATGGTTATAGAAGCCCGCAGATGAGGCTTGATAAGGCTTGATTCAGGTCCGATGCCGGAAGTTCGGGATGGTGTATTCCGATGCTTCGGGAGGTCCGATGCTCGTATTCATATGCCATCAGCCCTTAACTTCGAAGAGGATGACCAACCCCAACACCGATCGGGTTGCCAGTGCTCCGGACCATTCGAAAACACACCCGCTCCCAAGGCCATAACTCCTTGCCATTCCATCGCTTGCCCGGACTCCCGGAGTCTGTCCTGCCACGAGGCGCGAGAAGAACTCGAGGGCCCAACCATCAGCAGCTTGGCATGGATCTACCCGACGGGAGGCATGGAGCGGTCTACCCGAGGGTGGAATGGGTGACGCATGAAAGCAACTTCTCTTGGGGAGGTCTACTCATTGTTCTTCTCTTGGATGGGATGCGTGATTGTGGGCGGCGTTTGCCCATGTTTTCAGAGCCTCCATCATGGATATGAAGTGACTGCATTGAGACTTCGGCCTGAGTCAAATGATTGCACACCTATTATATACCGTATTTGTATCTACACATAGATTGCCGCCGTGTGCAGCACAGCCTTCAGCAATTCCCACCCAAATGCATCAAAAAGGATCCTTAACAAGTACAAGAGTGAAGCACAGTATATAGTAAACCTCTCCAAGAGCGAACCTTTTTCAAGTCATTTGGCAACTCTAGCTGAACAAGCAGCAACGGAGCGTCCCCCCAGCGGCCTCCCGTCCCCCCTGCACCGAGGGAGCATGCAAGTCGAAGCCGGGCGGAGCGTCGGGTTCAAAGCCAACCATGCGCAAGACATTTCTGCCTTTTCTTCCTTTTCATTCATTAATTCATAAAGCCAGCCAAAAGGGACGCCCGCTGCTCACGCCTTTCAGCATGCCCAGGCCTGCCCACGCTCATGCTCTAGGCAACGATTGGCAAATGCCTGGGCATGAAATGGCTCCAGGGGTACATGGAAGGGTCAATACTGCAGTTCTACAGACGGTATAGAAGTAGATGGTGGGGGGAGATATATAATGGGTCATCCGGTTTTGTTATATATATATATATATAGTACATATTTATATGTTTTTTGGTATACATATATATAAATATAAATACATATATATATATATAGATACTCTATTTATTCAGCAGTGGCCTGATTGCATATTTTTAGGATTCTTTTAGGTTGAGCTGACTCCTGCAGCTTTGGGGTGAGTGACCACTGTCGGGTGTTTCTGCCCGTGGCAGGTGGGAAGAAGATTGCCATCACGGCCCAATCAGATCGCAAGAGTTGAGGAGTTGGACTCATCACTTGAGTTGGTCAGTCCCATCTCAAGTTCCATTGGGATGACTCCTGCACGTGCAGTCTATGGGAGGAATGTAAAAGAGTTCTCAGATGAATTGGACTTGGAACTTGGTCGTGTGAAGCTGCGGGCTTTTGGGGACGCTCTTGAGTGATGGAGTCACGGCTGAGGTTTGAATCTTTTTTGAGATCGAACGCCCAATCGGCGGAAATCGACGGGGGTGTCTTGTGTCTTTCGGGCTTGCACCACCCGAGTCGCCGGTGGGGCGTGTGGTTGGTCGCTGGGCGGGGTCATTTTGAGGCCTCCAGGAACTGGGGAGTTCGAGAAACTGCGGCAATCACGCGGATCGCGTCATGTCGCATTGGTTGTTTGGGCGCAACCACCGGGCGTGACCTGCCTGGAACATGAGCGAATTGACAGTTTGAAACGTCACCTGCATTGCTTGTATCCCAGTGAATGTTGAGCCTCCAATTTTTGAGTGTGGGCGGGGTGCAAGTCAGCTGCTCCCCAAAACTAACAGTAACATAGAAACTGATAGACCACCCCACTAGAGTCACGTTTGAGGAGGATTTGGCAGTTGTCCATCTCTGTTAGGGGTTAGCAGCAACCTTCTTCATGAAGACCCGAGCCACCACGGGGAATGCAGATCACTGATCATTCTACTCTGGGAGTTCACCCTCCGTTTGCGCCCATCCTTTCAATCTGCCCTGGAAAAAATGGGCAATGCTCGGATCACTGATGCTGGGCCGATGCTGGGGGGTGAAAGACCTCTCCTCGGGACTCTCCCCATTTTTTGGAGTCTCCCTGAATTCGATCACCACCTGAGATCCGCGCCCACGACGGAGTGGCCACACGACCTTCGCGTCTTTAGTTCGCGATCTCGGTGGACCTTCGTGGGCCGATCACGTCAGTCTGCGGGTCGTGGGGGAGATCGAGATAGGCGAGCGCGGGTGAGGAGCTCATTCGTTGGGCAATGTCAACGATTGGCATGCATTTGTGGGCCTTTGTTTCTTTCTTTAGGCCTCCTTTACCAGAAATTGGGAGGATGGTCATTCTTTCCTCCGCTCACTGGATTTGGATGGGCGCACGACCACTAGGGGCTCAGAGCCCATTGGAACATCTTGAGGGTCCCAAAAAAGCCTCGCAGTGGCGGACGTCCACTCTCCTCAGCGGCTTCGGGTTAGGAGTTGTCCCAATTCCCCCCTGATCAATCCCTGATCAATCATAATATGGGCGGGGTGTGTATTTTAGGTAGGGAGATCCCCAACCAATGGCTGATCCATATTCTTCTTCCAGGGGATCTTCGAGAGGTCTCCCTATTTTGATACACGTTCATCTATCAGCAATAGAACTGCCACTGGCAAGAACCAGACATGTCATTATGGCACATCCAGCGCCATTGGCTTCTTGCTGTAGATCAGGTGGATTCTGGAACTCCCAAACCCATCCTCACCGACGGACTCTATGCCCCAAGACCAGGCCTCTTCGACTGCAAGCTGTGCTAGTGTTCTACTTCCACGTCTTCTTGGAGGTAGGGTATGTCATCACACGATCTACGAGCAATTCCCATGTTTCACGGTTGGTTTGCATGTGATCCATATCCCTTGCCTCTTTGCGTTGCTTCTTTATCTCATGGTTTTTGGGCTTCCCATTTGCCATGCTCCATGCTCGCTTGAACCTATCTCAGCGATTGGCTGCCCACTGGCAGCCGAACACTTGGATCGTGCAGCCAAAATGGTGCCAATCTCCGGGAGGTACTCCGTTATGGCATCGAACCGTTGGATGTGTCCGAGCGAATTCACTTGCAAAGCGCTTCCAGCATGACCGAATCCTTATCGTTTGGTAGGCTGGTGGGGGTTCCGGTCGTGCGCATGAAGGGGGCTTTCCTCCATTAAAGGGAGGCGCTGCCTTCGTGGTTTCTCGCGCCCCTCTCGAGTGGGGCGCAATTCTTGGGGCTTCTGGCCGGGCCAGGATTGATCGAGAGTTCAGGGATCATCCCGAGCTCGATCAGAATTGGTTGAAAGGCTTTCATGATGCAAAGCATGTGTTATGCGCATTTTTTTTTGGTTTTCCGCACGTGTTTTTTGGAACGCATGTAATTATGATTGGTCTATGCAGATGCCATGATGCAAATAACAGCATTTTCCTATGGAAGTCTTGCCTGGGCCAGGCAGGCGACTCTGGGAACCACATTGTTTCCAGTAGAGATCGTTGAGGCCTTCCACTGTTGAGTTGATGATTGCCTTCATTCATGTCCGAGACCAAAGCTTTGGGTTGGAGGCCGAACGTGTAAAAAGAGGTGCTACAGAATGCGGATACTATGACCTAGACACTGCAATTGTAAAGTCAAGTGCTTGCACTCATGCTAGCTGGTGAACATGTGAACCAAGAGCAAAAGCTGTGTATATAAATGTGAGTTGATCCCTTGGGCATGGACACCCATAGGTTTGATTAGGCTTCTACCCTTGCTAAAATTGCAGGCTTTTCAGTGGAATGACTGTCTCCCCTTCAGGCATACCCAAAGCCATCGTTTAGCTGTCTCTGATCCCCAAATGCACCATCAAGAACCCTGCCACTTTGAAGGGAACCTGGACGACTCGTTACGGATCCTAGGTGTCTTAAACACCTGGGTGATTGATGCTGGCTTTTCTCCGGCGGAGCCAATGCATGATTGCCTTCCAGACGTGCTAGTCCACGCCCTGCTGACTCTTGGCCTTGCTTTGACGGGATCCACCGATCAACCATCATGGACAGGCCATGGGCCCCTCTAATGGCCACCCCTTTGGCACAGGACGGTTGACAAAGCTAGCTCTGATTGCATGAGGACGCCAGGCATACTTGCCATCCACGCCTTCGGGTGAAACCTGACTCGTCATGCAAACCATAGCATCCGCCCACCAGCTTCCACACTCTAACATGAAGCTGCAGGGGATCGTATGTGTTCCCCTCTTGACCTACAAACAAAGCTGAATCCATGATGTCTTCACAGGCACTGAGAACTGGGATCCCTGAAAACCCACGTGGCAAGAACAGCAAAAAACAGCTTCCGGGTGATCACAGACAAGGACAAATATATATATATATATCTGTGACGCATTCGCCAAAGGCTAAGAGAGTTCTGTGCATTTTAGATGGCACAGCGGCACGGCTCCTCGACCGATGACAGCTCTTCGACCGAATGCGCGACACAGCGCTCAGCTCGTTTGAGCCTGGTTCGGGATTGAGCGATAGCTTTCCCGTTTCAGGCGAAGAAGGCGATGTTGGGCAGATCCAAAACACGGCCAGGTGCTGTGGACTTTTGATTTCATAGCCCCTCCCCACAAAAAGAACGGCGAATGTGAACTGCGATGTCTAATCGATGTGGGGGGCTTGTTAATCAAGGGTTCACATTAATTCGAGCTGGTCACTGTGAGCATTGGGGTTTACTTGAGGTGCACAGTATGGCTGCATGGCGCTTTTTTCGTGGCCGATCGTGGAGAGTACTGTAGATATTCGTAGACATTGCGTACTGGTTGATGCTTGTATTGTACCACGTCTTCTGCCTGCTTGAGATTGAGCTCTAGTTCCACGCAAGCCATGTGTTTCTCAGAAGCGCTACACTGACACTCAGGGATCTAGCAATGTTGACATTATAGGAGGTGGATGCTCGGTAGACGGTAGACTAACTTCCTACGGACAATTGGCTAGGGTCATGAAAGATTGTCTTGTCTCAATGGAGGCTACGAATATGCATCGAGGTACTCAACACAAAAGATTCCCCTGCTTCGCAGGCTTTTCGGTGGCAGTGGGCTTAGGGATGTTCATTCTTCAATCGCTCTGTTGGGAGGGGTCCAACAAGACTTGGCATCAGAGGTCTTGACATGTTCCAGCTTGCCGCCCGTGACCGGCTGCAGCGCCACTAGAAGCGCCGTCGGTGGCACCCGGCTCCCCCCAGAGCATGGAGTGCTCTCGGTAAAGGACACAGCGCACCCGTGACCGGCGCCGTTGTGCGTGCGGAGCTCATTCTTCGGAGCCCGTGCTCTTCGGAGCCGGAGGGCCGGCCTGGACAAGGCTTGTTTTCAATGGGAGAACCAGGACGAGGAGGGACACCGCACTTTTGGCTCGGGGTGTTTTCTTTCCTTTTTTCAAGGCGTCTTTGGAGGCAATAACAGTTGAGGTGAAGCCACTTATCACGGGATGGGAACTTACTGTGATAGAATTCAGTTGTCGTAGAGTCGTACAAGAGAGAAAAACACATGATTGAGAACCGATATGTGGCGGACTCATTTCTGGCATCATCTCCTCCAAACTGGTCTAAATTTGGGTGTCTGACTCCGAATCCAGGCGACGAAGCCTCGAAGCTCCACCGTTTTGTGGGTGGCCAGTCAGAAGACGGCAGCCCGGATGGGCGGAGATGCTCCAGGGACGTGAGAATGCTTTGCGGACGTAACCTTTTCCCCTTTCAAGCCTGGGAGAACGTCGCTGACTCTCCGAGAAGTCTGGCGTTGGTTCGTTCGGCGTTCGGCCTTTCTTTGCGCGTGAATCCGCGGTGAGCTTAGGTGGTTTAAGCATCACCCAGAAACATAGGTTACAAGTCACATTTGATTTCATTGACAATCCAGCGCCAGTTATTTCCACGCGTCTCCACATTCAAGAGTTTAGTCGGTTATGATACCGAGTCGTTTTGTGATGTGTTGGGGCGCCCTTCATTATCCTTCTGGGTAACGTACGGTCCTCCCTCACACCCTAGCGACCTTCCGACAGATCCATGCCACTGTGGTAGGGGCATGATACCAGGCACTTCGCTTAAGATCAACATGCAAAGCCCCCAGATGATGTGAAGCAGAACCCCCTTCATGTAGACTCTTGATGAAGAGCCATAGTTGGATTGAATAATCTCTTCATATTGGGGGTGGCTCGGCTCTTAATCAAGAGTCTACTTGTACGAAGCTAGGGGAAAGGCTTTCATGTTCGATGGGTGGTGCCTTTTTTCATGAACACACGCACGCTAGACCCCTGAGATCATACGTATGACGCGTTCAGCCATGCCCTTCCAAATAAATAGTGCTCAAATCCTGTTGCAACTCGTGTGAAAACACAGTTTTGGTCATGTTCGTCAGTTCGTTCAGTGCATGGGGGAGTTCACGCGGCCAGTGCGACCATCCAGCTGGGATGAATCACTCACTTTGTGCTGTCATTCATTTTGGATTCGTTTGCAAATTCAGCGGAAAAAAACACAGACATGGGGGCATTCTTGTGCTCGAAAGCATCTCCGCACTCGCTTACTATTTGCACCTGGAATTGGCGGTCTGCCGGGACAAACCCAAGGCAGCTCGCCGTGACGCGGTCGCAAACCCCCGCCCACTGTGGAGATGATCCGAACTCCTGAGGGTGAGCGCGAAGGAAAAGGTGGGCGAGGGCAGGGTGGGCAGTGCAGGAGCATGTCAAACGGGAACGCTACTAGGGGCTCCTGGCCTTACTGCTAGGAGCAAGGACGCTACTAGGGGCTCCTGGCCTTACTACTAGGAGCAAGGACGCTACTAGGGGCTCCTGGCATCGTTTCTACCCGAGCACCATGTGAAGGGATCAAATCTGCCGGCCTTGGGGTGGCCAGGCTTTCGTTTGAGACCCCTAGACCGACCTGCCGTTGACTCTCCATAAAATAGCATCTCAGCTCCCATGGTGACCTTCCACGGCAGGGTGAATATATCAGTGTAAATGTAACACATCATACTGTATCAATTCATATCACATACATATATATATATATGCTTATACATACACGCTCTGTTTCAGTATTATGGAAGTGGATGGGATGGTCCCGAAAGGAAGACTACTTTCCTTTAGGAACAGGGGGTGCCTATCCACTTCCATGGGACGTGTTCGTCGGAGTGTATATCATATCATATGTGAAACACACACACACACATATATATATAATATACATACCCTAGACATCCAAGACCATTTAAAAAATGGTTGACCTGGTTTTTGTAGTGTAAAATCCTTAGTTGATTCGGTAAAGCATATTAAATTAGTGGTTGTTGGAAGCTGGGTGGTGGCATATAATTTGTCTGGTCGGCTTACTATCTGATTTCACCCTTCGACTGCCGCCCCCCGAGGCACGAGTTGGAGCTGGGTGGCATCATCACGCGCAAGGCACCGAGACGGAGCGGAGGGTTTAGCGTGGCGGGTGGTTTGGGACGGAAAAACAGAAAACCATAAGTGAAAGTATCTATAAACACATGTATATATATATATATTTTTTTTTAAATTTCTCCCCCAACATCGGATGAACCGACGTCCCGACGTGCGGGACAGTACTCCCGACGTGCGAGTCGCGGTCGGATGATGGTCCAGATGTGGGGTCAACGAGTTGCATTTCTCGCACGAGGTCGCGAGGTCTTAAATGGACTGGACTTGGTTTAGCCATCAAAAAGCCTGCCGGGTGACCACTGAGTAAGAAAAGAGGGCGTCCCATGAACCCCATGAACCGCCCCCGGTTCTCCGCCCGCCCATGCGGACCGGAGGCGTCCTCCGGTCGCCGGCCGCGCCTGGTGTTGGCCCGCGTGAAACGCACCCGCGAAACGCGCGCCCGAAACGTGCGAGGTGTTGGGGGGCCGGTGGTGACCACCCTGAGGTGTGAAGAGGGTGCCACAAAGGCCCAAGAATACACTGTAATTCTGCAATTGTTTGCGTGTGGTGTGTGTGGAACAGAGTCGGGCAGGCCTTATGCAGCTTATAATCCTTCGACCAAGTTTTTGAAGCAGTTGATGCACAACACAAACAGAGGGTCATAGACCAAACAACGCATGTGGCACCAGGCTATGAGGAGGACGACTGTGGGAATTTGGGGTGTTCACCGACCGTGGTTTTGGCCAGACAACTTCAGAACAAACTCCTGCAGGGTCTCAGATTCATGCTCAGATCGAGTTGGAAAGAACCCAATGAATTTTTGTTTAATCCCAGGCATCCAGCGCTTTTAATAGACAAAGCATTGCTCTTTGCATGCCGGGGATTGGTGATCGGGCACCTGCTGGGTCAGTCGTTGGTTTTTCTCACATCCTTTTCTACATCATCGCTGTCTTCGGTTTCTTTCTGAGGCTTCCGGGCCCACCATTGATTTGTGTGGTCTTCTTCCGGACCGCACCATTGTTTGACTTGTTTTGCTAAGGATTTCACACGACAAAACCAGGTCAACCACAATTAAGCTTATAGCCTTGGAAGGTTAGAGCACAGAAAGCCCCGGAAAGGAGGACCCAAGGCCATGTTCGCCGGTCCAGTGCAGATTTGTCACCATGTAGGAGCCCCTAGCACCAGCTCAATCACTCCTAACCGCATGTTGTTTGGTGGCTTTGGCCTGGCCTATTTTCTTGGATGGCTACACATTGGGTCACAGAATTTCATGAAGGAAGAAAGCTGGCCCTCACGGAAAAGTCATGCGAGACCCCCAACCTCTGATCCAAAGATGACCCCATGAAGCACGAAGCTAACCAGGTTCACCAAGCGGCTAGTAAAGCTTGATCACTCACCAGTGATGTACGGTATACGGTACAAATTGAGCAAGGACGCTACTAGGAGCAAAGGGCATCGCTACTAGGAACAAGGGCCTTACTACTAGCAAAAAGAAGCTAGTAGAAACAACAATGAGTAGTTAGACACCAATTGATAAGGATCTACACGTACCGCATGCACCATTCCAAACCCAACCGGCTTCATCCACCCCCACCCTCTGGGCTTCCCCTCTGGATTCTTCGGGCGTCTCACGTCCAGGCCGTCACCATCTACCGGGAGGTGGTGCCCCGCTCCTTGCCCCGGCCGCTCCTTCTGAAGCAAAGCTTGCTGAAGATGACGCTCGGCGGAAGGCGAAAGATGAAGATCACGGTGTTTTTCCTTTGGTGAATTTTTGTAATCCGAGAAAAGAGCACGGAAGAGCTATTTTCTTGACGAAGCCGTTTTCCTTTGGGATGGGTTCCAGGGGGTGTCTGGGACAAGGCCTCGGAAAAAAACCCGTTTGAACCACCTACTTGCAACCCAGCTACTAGAGATGGCCTCCAACCTGATAGCAAGGGCCTCCAACCAAGTTGGATTGAACAACCTCTTCTTATGGGGGAGTTGCGTTAATCAAGAGTCTAGACGAACCATCCTGTCCGTAAGCCTTGTTAAGCCTTAGGTCGTTGCACACACTAAGGAAGGCCACCTTGGGCCCCCCCCTGAACGACTGGACCCGCGTGGCCGCGTGAGAAGAGTCCTTGTCATCCTTGTCACGCCCGAGGAGCTTTGTCCATCAGGCGGCCGTGCCGGCGTGGACAGCGACCGTGGCGACCGTCGCCCTGGGAGATCTCCCACAGGCCTAACGAGGCGGTTATAGGCCAGGTGCCTTGTGGACCCCCCGTTGGCAAGGCATACCGGTAAATGAACTGTTTACCGTCAAGACTGTGATGAAGTGGTTGGTATGTCCTTGGGCCGAACTCTTTTCAAGAAACCCAATACGACTACTGTATATAAGGCACTGAAAGCTGCTTCCTGTCCCAGGTCTCGTTCTGGTTGTGGGCGACGTTGATCGCGATGTTTGTTTTATTGAGTCTTCGTCTTGAGCGATTCGAACTTCGGAGAGATGGGCTCCATGCTTTTCCCATCTATTCCCTGAGTCCAGGGTGGGTATGGGTGGGTCGTGGCAGCTGCAGAGCAGTCGCAGTACCAGTCGAGACCCCGTAGTTGCCGTAGTTCACGCAGCACAAGCATTTTTGTGGATGGAGATCCTGTTGTGAAAGCTGACTTCAGGTGCAGGTGTCATAGTATCACAGAAACTGGACTACAGAAATTGCAGGAGTTGGGTCTAGCAGCTAGCATTCCCTGGAAACCTAAGAATGAGTACAGTAGGTGAACTCCGACCTTGTGGAACCCCACCACATTCTATGATGTTCTACATTCGCAAAGGAGAAATATTGAATAATTGAGAGAGGCTTGGAGGGTGGTTCCATTGGCAGAACGTCTTGGTTTTGCCGTTCTACACTTCATTAGAGTCACAGATGTATATAGACAGACCCCCAAATAGATAGAAAAGTAGATCCCCACTCAACATGTATTGGAAACCGTGCCGCATCTCTTCGAGGACCAATATAGTCTCTATTTGAAGAGTTCCATGCCCAAAACGAGTTCGCCCAAAACGGTCGTCCCAGCCCGTCAGCCTCTCAGACCTCTTTTGGCTCGTTAGCACCACGGTATTGCCCGTCGGCCGACGTTGTCATGACGCAGCTCTTCAAGGAAGAGGTTCTGCAGACCATCCATGTCACTTGGACAACTCGGAACGCTCCAATCGAGGGCTAAGTGCATCCCGCCGAATTCTATACGGCCTCCGCTACATATGAAGATGCAGAAGGGTTAAGGTTGACATGGAAGATCTTTGCAATAAGAATCTGGTGTATTTCGGTGCCGTGCTTCGAAGGTCTCGGCCCGACATGTTGCGATCTATGCAGTTTGATGCTGCGGTGTTGCACTCTGTCTTGGCCAAGGTGATGGAGGGCGAAGTGGTGAAGACGCTCACCATCACTATGAAGAACGGATCCGTTGATGTGTTGGAAGGCAGGAACCCCACCTCAGTGGTGAGATCCGTTGTTGGCCAGTGTGTTGCCCGGTTCTGCAGGCAGCAACTCTGCCCTCCCACGCAGCAGCTCAGAACCGGACGTGCGCAGGCGGCTCGGAGTTCCACACTTTGAGGACTATATGACTATATATATATGACTTTTCCCCCAAACAGAGTCTACTGTTGGGGTTCTATCTTAGAAAAAAAAGAGCTGGCCACACTCACTGGCCACGCCCCTGAACTCTGTGGCTGGGCTCTGTGGCCCGGCTCTGTGTCCGGGCCTTGTCCTCCTCTTGTCCTTGTCTTGGCCGCCCTGAGCTCTGTGGCTGGTCTCTGTGGCCTGGCTTACTGGAGAGGAGTGTGGCCGAACAAATAGCGATGTCGATGCCGACAAAAATCATTGATGAAGCAGCTTGCTGCTCTTGGGGGGAAGGCAGGGCGAGCCAAGAAATCGTTTTTTGACTAATATTGGTCCAAGCGAATCGTTTTGAAACTGTTTGGGGTCTATGCTGGTATAATTTACATGATCCATATGGAAACACTATGAAACAAAAGAGTCGGCCTAAAGTGTGTACCTCTTGCCATGGAAAATCAATCACCTTTGCATCCCACAGAAATCTGCAGGTATCCTCAGGTTGATTGTGTTTTTTTTCGTGCTGACGGGGGTGAGGGCCAGGCAGCGCTAACTTCTTCCTATCCTCAAGGTTTCCTCTCATCAAATCGCCCGGCAGGCTTGTGAGTGAGTCTCTCATGCCCCATTTTACGGCGATATGGGGCGACTTCCGGATCTCGCAGCAGTGCCGTGTTTTGTTCCAGTTTTGGGGCTGCCGGTTCAACTCTGCCGACTTCGCAGGTGGGTCTTACCAGGTGATGGACCCTCCCAAGCGGACTTGCGCGAGTTGCACAACACACGTCGATGTGTGCCATGCCTCTTCTTCACCACGAAGGTGTGAAGCAATGGGGACGAACGTGCGGTGGAAGTGGATTGAAGTGGATGGAATTGGGTCAGGCAAGAAGCTGTTTACAGGCCCAAGGCCTTGAGCTGGTTGTGGTATGTTGATGTATCTTGTTTGGCGGTTTTCTTCGGTTCTTAGGACTGGCGTGGTGTTTTGGCAGCCTTGGTTCCGGCTGCGTCCTTCCAACTTCTTGGGGCATCATTGCAGTCCGAGGGTTCGCACTAGCCACTAGCCAGGCCGATGGCTGCCGAATGGGCGAGGCTTGTGCTTGGTGCCACTTTTGCACCAGATCCGAGATGAAGAGAGAGCAGAATCGATCCAAGAGCTGCACTGGAAGTGTTCCAAACTCTTTTGGGCAGGGCCGAAGATCAATTAGTTATAAGTTATAACATCCACGGCTGTTGGATGCTGTTGGATTAATGTTTCGTTGGGGCTTTTGCCATAGGTTTCTCAGCTTGATTGCCCCGGAAAGGCTTATCTTCTGATGGCAGGCCCGATTTTCGTCACCTTCTGCGGAAAAAGAAGTATTAGTTAAAGTTAAAGGGAAAAAGAAGGCAAGGCCCCCTTACAATATTGGCCTTGAAATGGTTGTAGGCTGAGAGACCCCAGTCACACCACCTTGTTGGACTTATTTTTTCGGCGATCACGGTGTTCACAACGGATGTTCCCGAACTCTACCGGACCAGCCCCCAGTTTGCTGAGCTTGAGTGTCTGAATTGTTCCCAGGACAGAACTCTCAGAGACAAGTCGTTTGTGTGACCTTTCGGTGAAAAAGTTTCTTGTTTCTTTTCTTGTTTCTTTATGTGACCCCATAGCCCTGCATAGCCCCTAGCCATTGGATACCATTTGTCGTCTGAACGCAAAATGATGGCTTTAGTGACATCCACCCGAACCAAAAGCTGCCTAAACCAAACCAAAGTTTTGAGGCTGAGAGCAATTCCGGAATCCAGTCTTTCTTTGACTTGTTTCATTTTGGTTTCGGGTTCCTGCCGACGTGGAGCTGGTACGCTTCGAGTCGAGCTTCGGCCCGGCCTGAGGACTTCGGTTCCTGCGGCGGCGCGCCGAGAAGCTGATGCGTCGAACGGCCGAAGGCACCGCCTAAGCGGCCGCTCTTAGCGGCCGAGAACTGCCGTGCAGAGACTCCGAAAAAAGAGCTTGTGGTGATTTACATCCGACAACTCCATTTATACCTGGATCTTCCAACTATGCCTAATTTCTGCCTTTTCATCGAATGGTCACTGTAGCCGGTAGCCGTGGCCCGAAAATCGAAGGACGTTCAGGAAGTATCATTGCGCAGGTCCCTGAAGCAGCTAGACTCCACGATCTCCATGTTTTGTAGAGGAGCTCTGCATGCAGTTGGCCAATTGGCTCGATTTAACAGATCACCAAGGAGAGCTGGCATGGGGTCGTGCATCAACAGGTTGGGTGTTTGTCACAGAACTCCTATCAGTTTGATAGCAGATCCTAGCAGGCGTAGTGCCGATTGAATAATCGTCGCATATTTTTGCATACGAGACTTGCAAAAATAGGTGTCATGGTGTCATTAGTGATGATCTAGGTGCTTGTCCCCAGGGCATGGGCACATTTTTGCTGGAAGGATCAGTTTGGACTAATCTTGATCCTCAAACGACGGTGAAACTACTGGGTCACACACACACACACACATATATATATATATATCTACTTGTTTGATTGTGCACTCTCCTGGTCGAAGTTGATTCGCCTCATGGACACCGTCTCCACTGGGCTCAACCTGCGGGAAGCACATCGTGTGCTCCCCGAGTGAGCTCTTAGGAATGACATGTGCGTCTCTGACAGGAGGCATGCTGAATCTTCCAAGTGGGATGGACCGAGCCGTTCGGCAGTCGTACAGGGAAACATTAGAGAGCATGGAGAGTGTACAATATAGGTAGATTTGGCAGTGAGTGGGGGTGAGTGGGGCAATCATCACAATTCAAACTGGGTTCTTAGCCACTTGAGATGCTCTTGTACACCGTGACCCTCAAGGTAGAAGACATATTGTTGTGAGTGTGATTCGGTGTCCATGACATTGATGCGGTCTATGCCGTCTGGCCATCGTGATTTGTATGCAATATTTTTGCCGAGGTTCTATCCATCTCATGTCGTGCTTGTGACTATGTCTCCACTTGAATCACAAGCTTTGGACCAATGTCCTTGCAGTCTGTTAGCTAAAAAAGTGGATGTGCTTGTGGCTGTGCAGGAACATGCTTATGAGTTAAGGCGACAGCTTGGTTGATTCCTGGCCGCTCGAGGCTTGGCTTGTTCGGCCGGAATCACACCGGGGGAGGCCTTCTCAATGCGCCCAGTCGGGATTGGGTGCAGGTGGCTCAAAGACTGCCATTGTTTGCGGCAAGGTTTGTGAGGAGGCTTGCAACATCCAGGGCGTAGTGCCGATTGAATAAGCGTCGCATATTTTTGCATACGAGACTTGCAAAAATAGGTGTCATGGTGTCATTAGTGATGATCTAGGTGCTTGTCCCCAGGGCATAGGCACATTTTTGCTGGAAGGATCAGTTTGGACTAATCTTGATCCTCAAACGACGGTGAAACTACTGGGTCACACACACACACATATATATATATATATCTACTTGTTTGATTGTGCACTCTCCTGGTCGAAGTTGATTCGCCTCATGGACACCGTCTCCACTGGGCTCAACCTGCGGGAAGCACATCGTGTGCTCTCCCGAGTGAGCTCTTAGGAATGACATGTGCGTCTCTGACAGGAGGCATGCTGAATCTTCCAAGTGGGATGGACCGAGCCGTTCGGCAGTCGTACAGGGAAACATTAGAGAGCATGGAGAGTGTACAATATAGGTAGATTTGGCAGTGAGTGGGGGTGAGTGGGGCAATCATCACAATTCAAACTGGGTTCTTAGCCACTTGAGATGCTCTTGTACACCGTGACCCTCAAGGTAGAAGACATATTGTTGTGAGTGTGATTCGGTGTCCATGACATTGATGCGGTCTATGCCGTCTGGCCATCGTGATTTGTATGCAATATTTTTGCCGAGGTTCTATCCATCTCATGTCGTGCTTGTGACTATGTCTCCACTTGAATCACAAGCTTTGGACCAATGTCCTTGCAGTCTGTTAGCTAAAAAGCGAATGTGCTTGTGGCTGTGCAGGAACATGCTTATGAGTTAAGGCGACAGCTTGGTTGATTCCTGGCCGCTCGAGGCTTGGCTTGTTCGGCCGGAATCACACCGGGGGAGGCCTTCTCAATGCGCCCAGTCGGGATTGGGTGCAGGTGGCTCAAAGACTGCCATTGCTTGCGGCAAGGTTTGTGAGGAGGCTTGCAACATCCAGGCAGTAATTGACGATGTGCTTTTAAAGTCAGCAAAAGTTGTTAGACACGACCTGTGGTCGACAGGCAGCTGAGCCAAACTCATTCTCCTTTTTCATCCTTTTTCTGCCCTGTTGCCCTCTTCCATTTCTTCTCCAGCTCGTGTGGACCGCCACGATCCGGGCACGCGCCAGCGGTGGAGCGCTTGGCGGCCGGCCAGCCCTTGCTCAGGGGGCGGTTCACTTAGGTCTCCTGGTCCTAGTCACGGTGCGAGGATCTGCCCGGTATTGGCGTCCTTCGCCGTTTGCACCTCGAGACCGGGCCGAAGAATGGAAGCAGAGGGCCAGTGGCTGCCGAACATGACATGTGGTGGAACACGAGAACTGGAGACATCCAGAGAACATGTTGCAAAGGACTGAACGTAAAGCAAACAGGTCCAGACTCCACGTAGAGGTTCCGTTGGTGCCAGATGTGACCCAACACATGTCCTGGACATGTAAATATTTTGCAAGTTTCAACTTGCAACACTGCAACCCCTTTTTACTGATCCAGAGCAGGTGCAAAAATGTGAAGCGACGAGCGAGGAGTGGGGGAGGGGGCTGGACTGCAAGATGAGGAAGTCTCCGGCTCAGTTGTTGGCCTTCCGAATCCCTCCATGGGAGATCCTGAGGTGATTAGAATGATATGAACGGAGATCTTCGGATGCCATGCAGCCTTTTGCGACACGACCTTTCCAGGGGCATTGATGGTCAGAGGATCGAGGGTCACCCGTTCGAACTTGGGGGGGCGACGTGCGGGTCGCCGGGCAGTCGAAGCCCTCCCTTTTTCGTCTTCGCCCGCCTTCGTCTCACAACCCCGAGAACGCGCCCGAAGAAACGTCGGGCGGGTGGAGGCGATTGTAGGGTCCCGAACAGGGTCGGTTTGGTCTCCTTAGGCGGTTGGTTTTGTTAATTTTAATTCTAATTTATATATATATATATGAATTTTAATGATTGTTTCAACTAGCTTCTTGTTACTACTAGTAAGGCACTTGTTCCTAGTAGCTTATTGTTCCTAGTAGCTGTTTTTCATCGTCGGATCTTCGGTCGATCGCGACAGACACATGGATCCGAGGTTGATCCGTGTGCGGCTAAAGGATGTCGAAGGTTTCCAGCCTGGTGAATCGAACGTTGGGGATCTATGCATTCATTCATCTCAGGTTTCTACCCTGTCCAACGTCCTTTCAGCATGTCCTTTCAGCATGGCTTCGCGTCGTCCCTCCCCACATGGATCTGAGATCTGAAGACTTCCATGAAAATCCATGAAATCATTACTAGTAGCAAGAAGATGTGCTGCTGGTAGTAATGCACTTGTTACTATCGTAGCGATGCACCTGCTACTAGCCAACGCCAATTCCATGTCCACTGCCTTGACTGGCGGTGACCGCCCCCACCGACTCGCCGCAGGTCTTCTGCACGGTGGTGGGCGCGAAGGAGCTGCCGAACCGAGAGATGCTGGGCGTCAGCGATCCGTGGCCCGGTTGAGATGCCGCGGCGGAAGCGTTGTGCGGCGGCGCCGAGGGTGGAGGAGAAGGGGGAGTGGGCGCCACATGGAGCTCATGAAACCATGGCAATTACGGTGTTTTTGAGCTGTTGGAGGCGATTTGGTGGAGGCGGTTCGGAGGTTGTTGTGGTGCCAAAGTTGCTTAACCAACGTAATGGAAGTATAGGGTGTCAAGAGAACTTCCGGACGATCGTGTTTGCAAGTCATGATAGCTCACTCAGGCCCAGGCTAGCTCTCCTACTGAAATGATGAAGTTTCAACTGCTAGTATATATATATATATCAGAAGTAGAGTTCCCTTCAGTTGCTCACCTTCCCACACCTTCGTTTTCAGCCTGAACCTTCTTTTGCTGGACTGGATTCGCCATGATTTGCCGCGGTGGCCGAGGTTTTGTGCCAACCTCAGGAATGTCGAAGGGGGTGGCTTGCGGCTGAGTGGTCTGCTACCTGGAGTGGCTAAGAGATGCAAGTGTCAGATGTTCTTAGTGTCACATGGTGATGGCTTTGCTACCCAATGGGGATGAAACAATCAGTGGACCCCCCACTGTTTTCACACATGGTTTCACCAACGGTTGAGGAAGTGAGGGTTTGAAACGTGCAGCTCATGGCTCATGGCGACTTTCATGGCTGAGCGTGCCCATGCTGCTCCTGGAGGAGGCACACCAGCTTGCCTTGCAGTAGACCCCCTTTCTGGGGCGACCAAGACGGCAACTGCTTGGGCTATGCGCATCCCAAACTCTCAGAACCATACCGTTGTGTTTGTTCACTTTCCACCACTTTCCGAGTCAGGACCGGTGCAACTCTGAGTTGCTTAAGATCGGCTATACAATGATGTTTTGCCGTGAAAGGAGTCCACTAAGGGCCCCCCCACCGTCGACGGAGCGCTTCCCGCTGGATGCTGCCACGGCACCCTTTGCTCATGTTTCGACCCTCCTTCACCAAACACATCAAGGAACAAGTGCATCGCTTCTAGTAACAAGTGCCTTACTAGTAGTAAGAAGAAGCTGTTTGAAACAAGGGCATCGCTACTAGGAGCAAGGACGCAACTAGGAACCCTCTGACCCTCCCGTGACCTCCACTGCCCTCACCGAGGTCTGGTGCGTGCGGTGTTGATGTCAGGGAAGGTCACCGAGCTGTATCGAACGAAGGTGATCTCCAACAGCTTGCAGCCCATGTGGAACGAGGTGGGGTGCCGCGTCACGTGCGTTCCACGCGCCCCGGGTGGACCCGCTGGACACCGGTGCGGCGGGCAATCGGTCCCGAACTAGGGCATCACCACAGGAGCGAGGGTCCAATACTCGGAGAGCTCCAATT